AGTACAAATACCTGCTCTCAAATGACTGAAATAAAAGTACCAGTATCAGTACACATATTTTTTTTTTTTATTTTTTTTTTTACTTAAATACATACTTTACTACTTTTACTGTTACATTCCAGCAGTGATTTCACTGCATTATGTGATTATTTGTCAAACTTTTATAAACTTGATGAAACATGTGGAGAATAATTTGTGACAAACCTGCCACACGTTCCATAATATTGAGTCAAATGTGTGTCGCACACAACACAATGAGCACTATTACTGTCACACTATTAGTGGAAAAACTACACAACATATTTCACATGTTTCAAATCAGAGCATTTTCACTTGATTTCACATTTCTTCCTCATGTCATGAACTGTGTCACCTTTTTTTATCATCATGTCAAACTGGATTGTCTTCTATCATTTCAATCAACACCAATCACACTGTTTTTCGGTTTCCTCTGAGTACATTTTGCAGTGTGTTTTGTTCATTTTTAAAGTCTCACTGTGGAACTGTGCTGAGTTTGTCTGGAATGTTCACAGTAGGCATTAACCTGATCTATATTGTGTTATTAATGACAGATGTTTTATGCTCAAAATCATTCATAGTTCTGATGTGTAATTGAATCATAATTGTAAAAGTTGTTTGTGGTCAATCATGGAACACTGGTTCTACAATGGTGAAGGTTTTACACTCTTAAATCAACAATAATTCATAAATCACTTTTGTTTTCTGGTGGCCTTTTTCCAAAATCAAATCCAGTGTAAAGTTAAATAGTGTGTGTTCACCTGACATCACAACACTATGGATCCTTCTAGTTGAACAGGCTGGAGGACAGTCACAATTCACTGGTGGAATGTGCTGTTCCTGTCACACTGCATATTTTGCTGAATATCTTTCATACTGGGCCTATCCACATGAAAACAAACAGGTTTGGCTCCTCTCTGACAAATCAACAAGGTGTCATTATTCAAACACAAACACGTGCTGTCGTCAGCTCCAACAACTTGAAGCCATGATCAAATATGACAAGTGTGTGGAGGCCATCCATATTTAAGCTCCGTGTGAAGCAGAACACTAGAGAACAATACAAGCTTTATGACAAATTGTTATGTGTCTTTATCATGTTCTGCTGTTCAGTTCTCAAAACAAGATTTATTTACAAAAGAAGATTCACTGAGAAGAATCTTTGATGTGAAAGAAGGGAAGAGGTTGTGGGGAAGTATCAGTAGTGAGTGTGTGTGTGTGTGGTGTGTGTGTGTGTGGTTGTGTGTGTGTGTGTGTGTGTGTGTGTGTGTGGTGTGTGTGCGTGCGTGCGTGCGTGCGTGCGTGTGTGTGTTGTGTGTGTTTGTGATGTGTAAAACTACAAGACAACTCAACGTGCAGATCCAAAGGAGCTTGAGACGCCCAGCAGCAAGAGGCAGTGAGAGTGCGCACGCCAGTGGGAGAGAGCTCTCCACTTCCTGTTTTAGGGCCATGTGACCAGGAGGCGGAGCAACAGGCAGAGAGACAGCAGTGTTGAGGAGATCGACACAGACAGAGACACACTCCCTCCGAGAGCCACACGAGCTCCAACTCCAACTCCAGAAACTTGTTCAGAAACAGTCAGAATAAAATCTCTGTTATTGTAGAAAATACAATAAGTGGAGTTGATTAAAAAGAGGTTATTTTAGAGACATGAGCATTTGCACAGGACTAGAATCACTGTCACTTTGAGTTTCAGACAAAACAGGACGTCAAATTCTGTGAATTTTACAGATATTTTTACAGAAATGGTGATTACTGGAAAACACAGATGCGTCTGTAATTATATCAATTTATCAGGGACCTTAAAACTAATCAATAAAGATCTACAGGAAGCAACACTAGAGTGTTGATAAAAAATGTAGGATCACTTTTACTCCTAATTTTACAGAAAAAAACAGTTAAAATTAAAATATTACAATTGTGTTATCATCTGTGAATGTTTGAATCACTGTATTAGTAAATTAATATTGTCTAATTCTTAAAACATAATTGGTTGAAGTATTTCAAAATGGAAAATCTGTCTTCATATTAGCAAATACTTGTTTTTAACCATCTTTCTAAATATTTCTGATTTTCAAAGATGGTTTAGAACAAATATCTGCCAGTCTAAGAGGCATTCCACCTTAAATTAACCCAATATTTGATTTAAAATACCCAATGTTGAGTGAAAATATATTCGACATATAAATATATTCATTACCTGCCATAAAATATAAATAAATAAATATAATAAAAATGACATGTGTAGTGTGTGTAGAGACTTGTCCATGTGTTTGTGTCCAGGTTGGTTCGACTAGTGAACGTCCTGGCTCACTGTCTCTCCAACCAGCTGGACGACCACTGCACTACATCCACAACACTGCAGCTCAGGTCCTGACTCTGAGCAGGAAGTACGAGCACATGCATCCTGGTCTCAGGTCTGTGCTTCTGCTCCGGGCTCACAAAATCCACTTGAAAGATTTAAAGTGTCTCTGTTTGTGTCCAGTGTCTCCATGACCGAACGCCCAAACTCCATCTGTACAAGTTAGAGCACATGAACCATCTGACCAGGACTAAACCAGGACTAAACTGGGACTAAACCGGACTACACCAGACTACACTAGACAACAAAGATTAATCCAAGACTAAACCAAGATTAAACCAAGACCAAACCAGGATTAAACCAGAGAGAAAACCAGAATAAACCAGGACTAAACATGTTGAGTTTCTTTCTGGAGCTTAAACCTGGAACAGTTTTCTGAACATTTGACACAGGCTCTACTTGACTCTTTTAAATCCAGACTCAAAACGGTTTTTGAGCTGGCATGTGCTGAAAGACTTTTATTCTGCCTTTTATCTTTTAATGTGATTTTATGATGATATTTTGTTTTGATTTGTTTGTTTTTGATTTTGAATGTCTCTTTTCTGTAAATCATTTTGAATTCATTTGTTACAGAATTGTGCTGTACAAATAAACCCTTTGCCTGTCACACCACACACTATGAGAAAACATGACAAAGACATGTGGCCCCGTCTCCCTGATTTAAGTTGGACATGATTGACAGGTGGATCAGCCAATCAGAGACACACGTGTCTGTTGGAGTCAAAATAAACATGGCGGCTTTTGTGTTTAAAACAGGGAAAAATAACACAGAGGAATCAAGAAACGAATGACTAAACTGTTCTTTATGTCTGTGTTCCAGGTCTCAGGTTTGGCCTGGTGCAGAATCGACTTTTCGTAGATTCAAGCGGCGGCTGTTGGCGTCTGCGGCTCCTGTGAACACTAACGCCCAGAGCAGGTTAAACACAGACTGTGGAAGCTCTGTAAACCTTCAAAACACACTGATAATAACAGAAAATATATTTGTGTCACCTCTTGATACTTCATTGAGCCTTTGGTGTGGACGCTGAACTAAAATAACTCAAGCTTGGGAGAATGCAGCAACAACAGGCTGACTCGGACTTTCTTTCCTCTGCATTTTTATCCACGTGCTCTGAGGATGAGAGTCTTTTTACAGGCCTCATTGCTGTTTTAATCTGTGCTCTGTGTGTGAAAAAGACAAAGAAGAAAAGTAAACATGTTTAAATCAGCACTACTTAGACCATGATACATTTAACTAATACTTTAGTCCTTAAAACCACATGGATTCTGATTGATTTTCTTTAGAAATTTTAGAATTAAGAATGTTAGAGGAATTATTTTTTGCTCTTGTATTGTAACAAAACTCCTCATTTTGTGGTATTGGACTGGTATCGTATCGAGAAGTACACCAAGAGCAAGTATCGCAGTGGATCGGATCCTAAAAACATGATTCTGAAACAACACTACTTTACTTAAATCAACAATAAATTCATAAATCAGTTTGTTTTCATGTGGCCTTTTCTGTCCCAAAATGTCAAATCCAAATGTGATGTGGATTGTGTGTTTCACTGTCACTCTGCAGATGATGGTGAATGTCTCTGTTGTGGAACCTTCCTCCAGTTGGATCATTTGATTGTGGTTCGTTGGATCGAACTGTTACAGAATGTTTCCTTTAACATTCTCAGTGTCTTTGGTCAAATCGTCTCAAAGAAGTTTTATACTCTGCTCTTGTGACGATGAAGATAAGTTTGAATATTTCTTTCCAAAAAAGAATATCCCAGAGAGTTAAATAGGCCCCTGTCCTCCGTCTGAGATGAAACATCATCATATTACAGAATGTGAACACAGCCTATGAGAGGAGAAAACACTCAGGTACATTGTTGTCTGTTTAAAGGACTTAAAGCCACAAGATTAACATGAGCAGTTTGTGGAGCTATTACCTGACAAAACTAAAACACTTCAACATTTGTGTCATTTCACTTTTTATATTTATGTCCAAAACAAATGAGAAAGGCCAATGAATCTAAAACCTTTTTTTTTTTTTGTTTTTTTTCTTTAGGGAGATGTTGTTGCTTTGTTTGGTGTGTTCCTCATCATGTCTAGGGGCTTTAACATTTAAAACTAGACTGACACAACAGTAAATATATTATAAGAAAAGTAATGATTTGACCGAGAACATTTGATACAAATAAAACAGATTAAATATGAGAACAGAGTAAAGGTGTGAAACAAGTGCAAAACCTGAGACTAAACCAGGATGAAGAAGATAAATAGTGGGATCTGTTCTGGTAAAACAAAACTTAATAAAAATTCTCATTTATTTTCTAAATGAAACATGTGTTTCCTCATCTAGAAGCAGCACTGATGAAGAGGAGATTTGTTGTAAGTTTAGAAAAGCTGCCTCCTCACACCAAAGCACTGTCCAGTTACACTGATCCTTTAGATGTGCGTCTCTTTTCTTATCTCTTGTGTTGTTGGACTTGTGTCCAATGAACATGTGTGTGTTACATTGAACTGTTGACAGAGTCTCATTTGAATCCACAATAAAACATGTGTGTGTGTGTTTAAGTGGAGCTGCTCGCTGCTTCCTCCTCACATCTACACAGAGCAGTGGTGCAGTCTGGCTCCTCCCACAGCTCTCACTCCACTCTTAAGTTTCATTTGTGTCAAAGTGAAAGTGTTTGTGATTCAGGAGAGATGGCGCAGAAAGCAGTCGACACAGAAGCCTTTTCCTGCTCCGTGTGTTTGGATCTACTGAAGGATCCCGTGACTATTCCCTGTGGACACAGCTACTGCAGGAACTGTGTCCAACAGCACTGGGACCAAGAGGACCACAAGAGGCTCTACAGCTGTCCTGAATGTCGCCTCACCTTCAGCCCCAGACCTGCCCTGGTCAAAAACGTCATGTTATCAGGTTTAGTAGAACAACTGAGGAAGACTGGACTCACAGCGCCCCCTGCTGACCGCTGCTATGCCGGACCTCAGGATGTGTCCTGTGATGTGTGCACTGGGAGGAAGCTGAAAGCTGTCCAGTCCTGTCTGCAGTGTGTGGCCTCTTACTGTGAGCGCCACCTACAGCCTCATTATGACTCTGCAGCGTTTAAGAAACACCAGCTGGTGGCGCCCTCACACACACTCCAGGAAAACATCTGCTCTGAACACGACGAAGTGAAGAAGATGTTCTGCCGCACTGAGCAGCAGAGCATCTGCTACCTCTGCTCTGTGGACCAGCACAAGGGCCACGACACAGTGTCCTCTGCAGCAGAGAGGGCTCAGAGACAGGCAGAGCTGCCGGCCAGGAGGGCCCTGCTGCTCCAGAACCTCCAGCACAAAGACACAGACCTGAAGAAGCTCCAACAGGAGGCCCAGGAGATCAGCCGCTCTGCCCAGACAGCAGTGCAGCGCAGCGGGGACAGCTTCACAGAGATGGTCCTTCTCCTGGAGAAAAGACGCTCTGAAGTGGAGCAGCAGATCCGCTCCCAGGAGCAGACCCAACTGAGCCGAGTCCAAGAGCTCCAGGACCAAGTGCAGCAGGACGTGAGTGAGCTGAAGAGGAGCCTCTCGGAGCTGGACACACTGGCCCTCACCCAGGATCATAACCAGTTTCTACAGCTCTACACTTCACTGTCCACAGACACACAGAGCACAGAGCCAGTCAGGATTGACACACGGCCCCGGAGATACTTTGAGGACGTGAACAGAGCTGTGTCCAAGCTCAGGGACAAAGTGCAGCTCACTCTGGAGGAGGATCTGACCAACGTCTCACAGGCTCTGAGTGGTGTGGATGTTTTACTGTCACCAGCTGAACCCAGCTCCAGAGAGGACTTCTTACAATACTCTACAGAAATCACTCTGGACACAAACACAGTGAACACCAGACTGTCTCTGTCTGATGGAGACAGAAGAGCAACAGTTATGAGTAAAAAACAGAGTTATCCTGATCATCCAGACAGATTCAGTGTCTATAATCAGGTCCTGAGCAGAGAGGGTCTGACGGGCCGCTGTTACTGGGAGGTGCAGTGGAGCGGGGACTGGGTCTGTATAGCAGTTTCATACAAGGATATTCAGAGAAAAGTCTCTGTTGAATCTGCATTTGGATTCAATGATAAATCCTGGGCCTTAGACTGTACCAAAACAAGTTATTCATTTATATTTAACTCAGTCAGGTCCCAGGTCTCAGGTCCGGTCTCGTCCAGAATCGGGGTTTACCTGGACCACAGTGCAGGGGTTTTGTCGTTTTACAGCGTCTCTGAAAGTACCATGAGCCTCCTCCACAGAGTCCAGACCACTTTCACTCAGCCTCTCTACACTGGGGTGTGTTTGGGCGGGACAACTGGAAACACTGCACATTTCCCTAAACTCAAATAGAAGCTTTGTTCTCCACAGTTTGGATTAAATTTGTACCTTTTATTTTTAAATAATGAGTTAAAGGTTTAAATTATGATTTATGAGGGTTTCCCCAAAATATTGATACTTTCTAACCTATTCTGAAACAATATCAAAACTAGATTCTCATTTGAACAAGTATCAATAGTGAAAAAATAAAATAAAAATAAATGAATGAATAAATAAATAAATAAATAGAAGAAACTTTTTCTTAACTTTTGCTGAATATACATTTTAGATTTGGTCTGTATCAGATCTAGTATAAGAGCACATTGTAAAATTATAAAGAACCTATGAAGAAACTCTTGTTATTTTGTGTTGAAAGTTACATTCTGTTGTCTGAGGAAATATTCTGCTTATTATTTTTGTGGTTTCAAAATCAATCTTGAAATTTTAACTCTGGTTTTATATAGAATTGTATTTTCAACAGTGACGGAGAAAATATTCAATTTCTTTTACTTACGTAAAAGTATTAGATGATAAAAAAAATGTTAATGTAAAAATATAATTATAAAACATTAAAGTACCAGTTTAAAAATGTATTTAAAGAATAAAAAGTTAAAGTATTTCACACAGATTGTGAGATCTTATAAAACTTCAAATGTAGTGATTTTGATAAATATTTGTGTTGAAATTTGTTCAACAGAAACAATAGAATCAGTCATTTTTTTAGTATGTGTTTTTATTTGTAAATGTTTATTTGCTCAAACTACAAACATGTTCCAAATAAACCCTCAGCCTTTTCAACACGTCTCAGACAATAATAAAAAATACTTTGACTTTTCAGTTCAGTTCAAAAATGTAGTGGAGTAGAAAGTACAAATACCTGCTCTCAAATGTAATCAAGTAAAAATAAAAAGTATCCAGTACATACTTTTTTTTTTTTTTTTACTTAAGTACAGTACTTTTCTACTTTTACTTTGTTACATTCCAGCAGTGATTTCCAGCTGCATTATGGTGATTATTTTGTCAAACATTTATAAACTTGCTGAAACATGTGGAGAATTAATCTTGTGACAAAACCTGCCACACGTTCCATAATATTGAGTCAGAATGTTGTGTGTCGCACTACAACACAATGATGCACTATTACTGTCACACTATTAGTGGAAAACTACACACATATTCTCAACATGTTTCAAATCAGAGCATTTTCACTTGATGTTCACATGTTCTTCCTCATGTCATGGAACTGTGTCACTCTTTTCTTTATCATCATGTCAAACTCGGATTGTCTTCTATCATTTCAATCAACACCAATCACACTGTGTTTGTTCTGGGTTTCCTCTGTGTACATTTGCACTGTGTTTTGTTCACTTTTAAAGTCTCACTGTGGAACTTTTGTGCTGGAGGTTTTGTCTGGAATGTTCCACAGTATGGCATTAACCTGATCTATATTGTGTTTATTCAATGACAGATGTTTTATTGCTCAAAATCCATCATAGTTCTGATGTGTAACTTGAATCATAATTGTAAAAGTTGTTTGTGGTCACATCATGGGGAACACTGGTTCTACAATGGGGAAGGTTTTACACTCTTTAAATCAACAATAAATTCATAAATCACTTTGTTTTCCTGTGGCCTTTTCTGTCCCAAAATCTCAAATCCAGTGTAAAGTAGTAAAATAGTGTGTGTTCACCTGACATCACAACACTATAGGATCCTTCTAGTTGAACAGTGAGCTGGAGGACAGGTCACAATTCACTGGTGGAATGTGCTGTTTCACTGTCACACTGCATATTCTGCTGAATATCTCTGTCATTACTGGGCCTATCCACATGAAACACAAACAGGTTTGGCTCCTGCTCTGGACAAATCAACAAGGGTGTGTCATTATTCAAAACACAAACACGTGCTTGTCGTCAGCTCCAACAACTTGAAGCCATAAGATCAAATATGACAAGTGTGTGGAGGCCATCCATATTTAAAGCTCCGTGTGTGGAAGCAGAGACACACTAGAGACACAATACAAGCTTTATGTGACAATTGTCTATGTGTCTTTATCATGTTCTGCCTGTTCATGTTCTCAAAACAAGGATTTATTTACAAAAGGAAGATTCACTGAGAAGAATCTTGATGTGAAAGAAGGTAAGAGGTTGTGAGTGTGGAGTTATCAGTAGTGTAGTGTGTGTGTGTGTGTGTGTGTGTGTGTGTGTGTGTGTGTGTGTGTGTGTGTGTGCGTGCGTGCGTGCGTGCGTGCGTGTGTGTGTGTGTGTGTGTGTTGTGAGTGTGTAAAACTACAAGACAAACTCAAACGTGCAGAGTCCAAAGGAGCTTGGAGACGCCCAGCAGCAGAGAGGCAGGGTGAGAGTGCGCACGCCCAGTGGGAGAGAGCTCGTCCACTTCCTGTTTTAGGGCCCATGTGACCAGGAGGCGGAGCAACAGACAGAGAGACAGCAGTGTGTGAGGGAGCAGATCTACACAGACAGAGACACACTCCCTCCAGAGAGACACACGAGCCTCCAACTCCAACTCCAGGACTTGTTCAGAACAACAATCAAAATAAAATCTATACAATAAGTGGAGTTGATGAAAAAGAGGGTAAATTAGAGACATGAGCATTTGCACAGGACTAGAATCACCGTCACTTTGAGTTTGCAGACATACAGGACGTCAAATTCTGTGGAATTTTACAGATATTTTTACAGAAATGGGTGATTACTGGAAACACAGATGACGTCTGTAATTATAACAATTTACCAGTGGACCTTAAAACTAATCAATAATTAGATCTACAGGAAGCAACAGACGAGAGGTGTTGATAATAAAATGTATTGATCACTTTTACTCCTAATTTTACAGAAATAAAACAGTTTAAAATTAAAATAGTACAATTATGTTATCATCTTGTGAATGTTTGAATCACTGTATTAGTAAATGAATATTTGTCTAATTCTTAAAACATAATTGCATTCATGTATTTCAAAATGGAAAATCTGTCTTATATTAGCAAATACTTGTTTTAACCATCTTCTAAATATTTCTTGATTTCAAAGATGGTTAGAACAAATATCTGCCAGTCTAAGAGGCATTCCACCTTAAATATTCAACCCAATATTTGATTTAAAATTACCCAATGTTGAGTGAAAATATAATTCGACATATAAATATATTCATTACCTGCCATAAAATATAAATAAATAAATACATAAATAAAATGACATGTATAGTGTGTGTAGAGACTTGTCCATGTGTTTGTGTCCAGTTGGTTCGACTAGTGGAACGTCCTGCTCACTGGTCTCTCCAAACCAGCTGGACGACCACTGCACTACATCCACAACACTGCAGCTCAGGTCCTGACTCGAGCCAGGAAGTACGAGCACATGCATCCTGGTCTCAGGTCTGTGCTCTGGCTCCTGTGGCTCACAGAATCCACTTGAAAGACTTTAAAGTGTCTCTGTTTGTGTCCAAGTGTCTCCATGACCGAACCCCAAACTCCAACTGTGACAAGTTAGAGCCACATGAACCATCTGAGCAGGACTAAACCAGGACTAAACCAGGACTAAACCAGGACTAAACCAGGACTAAACAAAAATTAAACCAGGACTAAACTTGGACTAAAGCAGAACTAAACCGGGAGTGAACCGGGAATAAAACTGTGAATAAACCAAGAATAAACTCAGACTAAACCAGGACTAAACATGTTGAGTTTCAGTTTTCTGGAGCTTAAACCTGGAACAGTTTTCTGAACATGTGACACAGGCCTCTACTTTGACTCTGTTTAAATCCAGACTCAAAACGGTTCTGTTGAGCTGTGCATGTGACTGAAAGACTTTTATTCTGCACTTTTATCTTTTAATGTGAATTTTATGATGATTATTTATGTTTTGATTTGTTTGTTTTGTGATTTGAATGTCTCTTATTCTGTAAATCATTTTGAATTCATTTGTGTAAGAATTGTGCTGTACAAATAAACACACTTTGCCTGTCACAACCACACACTATGAGAAAACATGACAAAGACATGTGGGCCCCGTCTCCCTGATTTAAGTTGGACATGATTGACAGGTGGATCAGCCAATTAGAGACACACGTGGTCTGTTGGAGTCAAAATAAACATGGCGGCTTTTGCGTTTAAAAGAGGGAAAAATAACACAGAGGAATCAACAAACGAATGACTAAACTGTTCTTTATGTCTGTGTTCCAGGTCTCAGGTTCGTACAGCGTCTCTACGATTTATGAGGCTTTCCCAAAAATACTGATACCTGCTAATCTATTCTAAAACTAATATCAAAACTAAATTCTCATTTGAACAGGTATCAATACTGAAAAACAAACAAACAAACAAACAAACAAACAAAACAAAAAAACAATAGGGGAAACTTTTTTTTTGTAACCTTTGCTGAATATATATTTTGGAATTGGTCTATATCACATCTAGTATAAGAGCAAATTGTAAAATTATAAGGAAACTAGAAAGAAACTCCTGTTATTTTGTGTTGAAAGTTACATTCTACTGTCTGAGGAAATACTCTTATTACTATTATTACTCTTATTATTGTTGTGGTTTCAAAATCAATCTTGAAATTTTAGCATACGTTTTATATAGAAATGTGTTTTCAGCAGTGGTGGAAAAAGTACTCCATTTTGTTATTTAAGTAAAAGTACAGATAATGAAGCAAAAATACTTAAGTAAAAGTACTACATGGGAAAAAAAAAAAAAGTACCTGTTTAAAATTGCACCTAAAGAGTAAAAAGTAAAAGTATTTAATGCACATTTTGAGATCTAATACAGTTTCAAATGTAATGATTTTCATAAGGATTTGTGCTGGAATTTGTTCAACAGAAACAATAGAATCAGTCATTTTTTCATGTGTTTTTATTTGTAAATTTTTGTTTGCTCAAACTACAAAGATGTCATTGCTTTGCCTAGTATGTTATTAAAATTCTATCTTGCAGACGTTTTATTGCTCATCTATATCTCGAATAAAATGTATATAACTACAGTATAAGCCTGCTTGCCTTTCCATAGTTTTGATCTGTAACTTGGTCTTGAAGCATCACCTATTTTCTAAGTAGATAAGTTATGTTTTAATAGATAGTTGTGAAGTAAACTTTTCTAGCCTGTTTCCTGAGCCCCTCCTCTCATCCGCAGTCCCCCGCTCTCTCCTCTTCCTCATCCTGGGACCCGCCCTGATCCAGATCCAGGTTGAGCGCGTGACATTTGGAGCAGATTAAGAATTTGCCTGGGCCCTAACCTTTCCTCGGCGTGAATCTGGCTGTCAGTGCATTAGAGCTTCCATTATCATGCAGTCACGTCCAATCTCACCTGAAGCCCCCGTCTGGCCCCTCCTGCAGACGAGACAGGAGAGCGGGGAGGGGGGTGACGAAGGGATGGAGAGAAAGAATGAGAGAGAGGGGAGTTTGGAAGAGAAGCATGCGAGTTAGGAAGTGAAAGAGGTGATGGGAGAGACAGAGAATGAGTGGGAAGAGAAGGAGGAGGAGAGAGAGATGGGAGACAGAGAGAAGTCAGAAGAGAAAGGGAGGGGGTGGGAGAAAGAAAGACATTACGGTAGGAGGTGTAGGAGGGGCGAGGGGAGCATAGACTGTTTAAAGATGTGGACTAAGGCAGTGTGAAGTCACCCATAGCGTTCAGCTCCAGTCAAAAGAAGCTCATGGGTCTCGCAGTTATACACAGCAAAAACTGGAGGGTTAAAATTTTAGGGTAAAACATTTCAGAGTTGTTTTTAACACAAAAAGTGTTATGTTAACAATTTGAAAGTTAAATGGAGGCTCGAGTTGAGGTTACAGTGGTCCCTCGTTTATCGTGGGGGTTATGTTCTAAAAATAACCTGCAATAGGTGAAATCCGCCAAGTCGTCAGCTTTATTTTTTACAATTATTCTATCTGTTTTAAGGCTGTAAAACCCCTCACCACACACTTTATACACTTTTCTCACACAGGACAGTTACAACCCTTTTTACATCCTTATTACTGCTGTCCTCTTTATGTTATTTTCCTCCTTCTTTATGTAACAAACTGAACATGAATTTATTCCTCAATGTAAGTAAGTCTTTATGTATATAGCGCTTTTCACAGACATTTTTTGTCCCCAAAGACGCTTTACACAGCATTATTCAGCATTATTCATTCACTCTACACCTGGTGATGGTAAGCTTCTATTGTAGCCACAGCTGCCCTGGGGACAGACTGACAGATGCGTGGCAGCCATGCCACTCGGCGCCATCGGTCCCTCCGACCACCACCATCACTCACACACCACTTCCATACTAGGCAATGTGGGTGAAGTGTCTTGCCTAAGGACACAATGATTGAATTGATTGTATTTAATCAACGGTTTATGGAGACCTATGTAGCATGTTTTGGGTTGATGGGGGAAACCGGAGCGCCTGGAGGAAACCCATTCAGACACGGGGAGAAACATGCAAACTCCACACAGAAAGGCCCAGGCGACCTAGGGATCGAACCCAGAACCTTCTTGCTGTGAGGCATGAGTGCTAGCCACTCAGCCACCGTGCCGTGGCGCCTACAGCCGCATAACTTCCCCCTTCCTTCAGCATGTCCAGAAGTCCACCTTTTTGTGCGATGGTTACATCTTCCTCTGG